CGACAGCGGATGAGAGGGGAAAGGGTGAGGAAAAGGCGAGGCCTCGCAGGAATGGGCGAAGTAAATGGCGAGTCTTGAACTCTCGGGTCTTCGTGGCTTTAAAAGCCCCAGCGGGAAAGGAAAGGGAGAACGGAGGGCAGCGGGCATATCTATCGACGACGCCTCCTCTCCGAACGCACTCTCGCTCGGAGAGGACGACGCAAAGGAGAAACGGAAAGAGAATTAAGACAAGAGCGGCGAAAGAGAGAGAGCAACTGATACAGGATTCCTTTTCTGCATGTAACATACCCGTCAGTGTGTCCTGTTGTCCTGTCTAGAAGAAAGACTGGCTGGTCGGTGAAATTGGCACATTAACCGTCTGGAGGAGGGAAGGTCGGAGGAGAAAGTTGTTTCACCGCTCGCCCTTCTTGCTCTCTACCGTGCTCTTCCTTTCTCTGCGCGGCGGGCCGGCGGCACGGCTTCAGTGGGGGAGAGGGGGAGAGGGGAGCGGAGGAGGTGGAGGGAGGGGGCACCAGGTCTTGGGTAGTGCAACGATGACATTAGGGAGGGGGAAAACTTCCGGTAGCGATGTGTGCCTGCGTGTAGTCGTGGTTTGTAGAGAGTGGGTGAAAGGAGATCATTGGGTCGTGTAAAGGAGTATGAAGATAAAAGAAGAGAAGCGAAGGAGAGGAAGTGGGGAGGAGATTAGGAAGAAGGATAGATTAGATATGTTAGTGAATAATTAGGTAGTGTAATAAAGGCAGGTAGGGGAGAGAGGATGAGAGAGGAGGAGGAATGAGGCGAGAGAGAGGCACAGATTAGTAGAATAGATAGTGAATGAGAACTCGACGATCACTATCACCTTGTATTAATATTGTGAAGATACTCATCTCATCACCACCTTTAAGTAATGTTTCAACATTTAGGGAGGACGAAACCCACATAAATGAGCGGAGAAGTAAGAAGGAGGGGGCTCAAGTGTGCGAAGAAGAGGGAAAGGAGAGAGACAGCCGACGGAGACAAAAGAGGAGAGGATGAAGGACAGGAGGTAACGGGAGAGGCGACGAGAAGGGCGAGAGGACAAAAAAACAGGGGCGAAAACAGGAGAAATGGCAAGATGAAGGCGTGGGGGCCGGAGCGCGCGGGCGAGGGGACACGGAAGTGGCAGGAAAGATGGAGAGGCGAGGAGTTAGAGAAGGAGGACAGGGAGTGGAAGGAAGAAGGGAGGGGAGTGAGGAAAGAAGGAGAGAAAGGATGGAAGAAGGCGAAGAGGGAGTGGGTAAAGGAGAGAGAAGGAGGAGGAAAGAAGCGTGGAAAGGCGTCCGGCAAGCCCAAGACCCCAAGCGCTTCCTCGGGAGCCGACTATGTAAACGCACACCCTCCGGTAATCGGCAGCAAGCTAGAGATGCCGAGAAGAACGGAGCGGAATCCGGCGACTCGTATAAAAGAGTGGGTTCGGGGCAGCGGTGGGATCGATTGTAGCGTTGACTCCCTCCGCCGGCTACGGTCGTGGGTGGGAGGATTGGGGGGAGGGAAGGGAGGGGAGGGGAGGGGCAGAAGGTAGAAGGAGAGGGAAAGGGAGATGGCGTGGGAGAAGGAAAATGGATATGGAAAGAATGAGAAAGGGGGAGGAGTGGGGAGAGGTTAGTGGTGAGAGAGAATGGGAGGGGGATGAGTCGCATGCTGGGAGAGCAGATGAGGATGCCAGCGTACGAGAGTAAAGAAGAGAATGGAAGAAAGAGAAGAGAGAAGAAAGAGGCAGAGAGAAGAGAGAAGGAACGGGTGGGGAGAGAGAGAGGAGAGGAGAGGAGAGGAAGGGAGGAGAGAGAGCGAAGAGAAGAGAGAGGAGAGAGAGAGAGAGAGAGAAGAACCGGATAGTAGGCCCACAACTCTATAAGCAAGATCTACCATCACTCTCCCAAAAGTGATGGCTCGAGCGGGCCTAGCTGGTTGGAGCACGGCGGAAGGAGTTGGTCGCATGACCGTGTCTGGGCAACCAGAAGTGAGGCTGGTGTTTAGCAGAGGGGAGGGGGGGAAGGAAAGAGTGGCATTGGGATGAAGGTGAAGGGAAGGAGGTGGGGGAGGGAAGGAGGATGATGAAGTGTAGAGAGCGTAAGGAGGTAGAAGGGTAGGAGGGAGAGGCAGGCATTGATAGAGTGGAGGTAAGGGGAAGGATGAATGAAGGGGAAAGGGTACGAAGGGGTAAGGAAGAGGGGGGGGGGAGGACTGAGCAATTGGAAGGCGAGGAGGCGGGGCGGTAAATGCATCGACCAAGTATCTCTCATTGGAGTGTGATGAGGTTGCGGAGGCATCCAGAACGGAAAGGAGAGAGAGAAGAAGAGGGAGAGCTATATAGAGAGGAGTTTATGTTTATGATAGACGAACTCCTCCTCTTGCGTGGGATTGTCGTTATGTCGATTTTGATGGAAGAAACCAAAGGAAGAAATGGAACAAAAGAGAAAAGGAAAACATATGTTAGTCGGGGGGGGGGGCGCGGGGGGTCGCTCCTTGGCCGCGAGTCAGTTCAGCGGTCTGGCCGGATCGCGTCCAGAGGAGACTATTCGCAAAAGGCAGAACGAAGGTGATTGTTCTGTTTGTACTTCAGGAGGAGAACTTCTAGATTAAATGGAAGAGGAATGAGAGTCTGGTGCAGTCGCATAGCCTCAGTAGTCTTGTGGGGTGAGAGAGACTAAAAACAGGAACATCGAAAGAATTTGGGAGAAATAAGTCATGATATAATTTAACGCAATTAATCTAGTGTGGGAATGTTTCATTTTTTTATAACGAAGAGGAGAAAAGTCGACATGGTTGGATATAAGGCTACATGGGCCTTCTTAAGGTCCAGGAGTAAACAAAATTTGATCAGAAAATTATTTTTATTCTCGAGAAGAGGAGAGAGAAGAGGGAGAGAGAGGAGAGAGGAGAGGGAGGAAAGGGAGAGGGAGATGGAAATGGAGAAGAGATGGAGATGGAGATGGAGATGGAGATGGAGGGATGAGGTGGAGGGAGAGGAGGAGGGAGAGGGAGAGGGAGAGAGAGAGAGAGAGAGAGAGAGAGAGAGAGAGAGAGAGAGAGAGAGAGAGAGAGAGAGAGAGAAGAAGAGAAGAGAGAGAGAGAGAGAGAGAGAGATTTTTAAGGAACATTTTCATTGTCATTTTTTAAGAACATTTTCATTGTCATTTTTTTAAGAACAATTTCATTGTCATCTTTAATAACATTTTAATTTTTAATTTTTAAAGAACATTTTGGAACCTGTCAACTCAGGTTATTCCGCTATTTGTGTATGTGTGTGTGGGGGGGGCTGGGCGGAGGAACTTGGTTAAACGGCAGATAAAACGTCATAATTTCACAAAAAAAAAGAACAGTATAGAGTATGGTACGTAAATAGATATGAAATTTGATGTTTAGATCAGATATTTAAGTTGTAATGAATTGTCCAGAATGTGTTGTTCTCTATATCTTGTTATAATATGGTGAATTGCACGTTTATTTAGAGAAAATTGTCTATTTTTTTAGCTATACGACGACAAAACTATTCTATATCTGAATTCATTTTTAAAACAAGGCAGTTAGTAATTACCTTCGTAAAAATACAGTTAATGGATTCTCAATTTGCTTCCTGATCTATTTTTAACACTTAAAAAATTCTAAGTAGTGCTACAATACTTAAACAAAAAAAGCAAGTACTTTACGCTTCAAAATGAACAAACGGCAATAAAAAAAACTTATGTTGTAGACCGAAAATGGAAACAAAAGTGCAAATGGCTCTTAGATTATGAAATTGCGCCAGATCTTAGTGTCATTATGCAAGTGTTGTGAGAACGTGACAGGTGGCACAAACATAGCCTCGAGAATTGGATAATAGAAAGATTTTGTTTTTACTACAAGTGACGTTGAGGGGATTTGATTATTTTAAAATATGATTAAAACGTGAGGTAAATATTAAATAAACGATTCGATAAAAGGAAATTGCAATAGAAACGTAAACGATATAGGGTCGATGATCTGAGTACAAAATAAAAGTCAGGGTGTGTTATGTGTCAGTTGAATAAAACGTGAAAATAATACGAAATTGTATCTAACGTAAGCATAAAAAATGAAATTAGGTTAACAGATTATTGTGTCATTAGGGTATTCGACATTTACCAGAAGAATAAATTTTTCGTATCTAAAAAAATGGAATTCCGGATGTATCAGAGACAAACTTAAATTATTATTTCCCCATAAATCGATATAATATATTGACTTAGCAACGTGTTAGAGACTTAGAGACACAGTTATCCGTTGTTTTGATATCGAAATCATTATTAAAATGTAGAGATTATGTCATCATGGCAAGGATAAGATTAAAATGACACAGGTCAAGCACACCATATGTGTCCAAGGTGATTTAAGGACTTGATTGACAGCCAAAGGTGATACGAGATTTGATATAAAACTTATAATCTTAGTGGAACTTCATGTGTTCTGCGTGAATATCAAATTAAATGTTATCGAAAAGGTGTATCTGATTTTTTTTACACGTTTTTCAGTGCTTTATGTAAATTTAATGGTCTCGTTTCCGGAGTAATGATGGAAGTCACTTAATATAAGGGCAAATATTAATACGAGATGTGAGTTTAAACCCAAGATATGAATAAGTGGGGGGGGGGGCTGTTTTTAAAAAAATTCACTCTCCCAACGGTATTATTCATCAAAAGGAATTATGACATGTTGCCTTTCATCAAGTATTATAGGTGTGAACTGATACCTAATAATGGTGTACAAAAGATAGACCACTTGAAGAGAGGCTTTACCATCCCAGCAATTATATGAGACACGACTGAACACCTACACAATACAAAAAAAAAAAAAAAAAAAAAAAAAAAAAAAAAGAAGACAACACTCAACAAAAATACCCAGCAACTTTAAAAGACACGACTGAACACCTAAACGCAACAAAAAAAAAAAAAAGACAATCAACACAAAAATAGAATAAAATAAATAAAATAGGATGACCTAAGCCCCCCACGTCCCACCAGCAGGTAGCAGAAGGATGGGGAAGCCACGCGTGGTTCTCGTGACGGGCGGGGCTGGCTTCGTGGGCTCCCATACCATCCTGGAGCTGCAGAAGGTGGGCCACACGGTCGTCGTGGTTGACAACTGCGTGAATGCCACCGCTGGGGAGACGCAGGCGGCGCTGCCCTTGGCCCTCCAGCGCGTCGAGAAAATAACGGACAAGAAGGTGCATTTCTACATGTTGTCTCTGCTCGACCGCTGCGCCCTCATCAAGGTGTTTCGGAAGGTATTTGGACGAGGAAGGTTTTGTTTTATCCTTTTATTATTATTATTATTATTTTTTTTTTGAATCTGTTGTATTTTTACTTATTTTTTTAAATTTTGAATCTGATGTATCTATTTTTTTTCTTTTGTGTTTCGGAAGGTGTTGCTCTAGGAAGGTTTTGTTTAACTTTTTGTCTTTTGAAAATCTAATATATCTGTTTCATTGGTATTTTTTTTGTTCTTCGAGATTTGGATATAATTATGTGTTTTGTTGATTTGTTTATTTGTTCTTGGGATTTAAGAAGATGTTAATTTCGTGTATTTTTAGCGTTTTGTTTTTATTGAGGTTTCAGTATTTAAGTTTATAAATGCAATATTTGATTTCTTAAAAATAATTCCATTGCTACTAGGATCTGAATGCATTAATTTCAGATCATTTATTTTTTTATTTTTTTTTTATCATTCCATTGTTCCAGAGATTTGAAATAATCAATTCCTTAATAAGTAATTTTGAATGCCTGAACTTCCAAAACTCATTTCCACCCATTAAAAAAGTAAAAAAATAGTAAAAAAAATAAAATAAAAATAAAAAATAATAAAATAAAAAAAAATAAATAAAAAGGAAAGAGAAACATGATTCGAACACGTTCCTTCACAGCACAAAGTCGACGTCGTGATTCACTTTGCGGCCCTAAAAGCTGTCGGAGAGTCGGTCGAGAAGCCTTTGGCCTACTATGCAAACAATGTCACGGGGACGATCAACCTGCTCGAAGTAAGTCACGCTGGAGACGCTGTTGCTGGCGAAGGGGACAGGGGTCGTGGGATCTTGGTGTCGGGGGTGAATGAGCGCTGGGAGGGATTGTGTTGTTAAGTAGTAATTGTATTTCGATTCCCTGTGCAGATCCAGGTCGTACTACCACTGATGTTTGAATATATATGTATGTGTATATACAATATGCGTTCATGTATGTGTGTGTGTGTGTGTGTGTGTGTGTGTGTGTGTGTGTGTGTGTATGTGTGTGTTGTGTGTGTGTGTGTGTGTGGTGTATTATATATTATATATTATATATATATATATATATATATATATATATATATATACACATATACACATATATACAGGTCGGGGTGGTTGTATGTGTATTTCATTATAATCAATCCACCTCAGCTCCCATAACCAAACAGACGATTAAAGGACAGAGAGGTAAGAGAGAAGGGAGAGGAAAAGAGAGAGAGGAGAGTAGAAAGGAGGGGAGAGATAGATAGATAGATGGAGAGAGAGAGAGAGAGAGAGAGAGAGAGGAAGAGAGAGAGAGAAAGAGAAAGAGAAAGAGAGAGAAAGAGAAAGAGACAGGACAGAGACAGAGACAGAGACAGAGACAAGAGACAGAGACAGAGACAGATAGAAAGATAGAGAGAGAGACCTTAACCCAAACCTCCCAGAACCCGAAGCACGAGCAACAACACCCCTACCGCCCTCAGGTGATGAGCGAGGTGGGCGTGAAGCGGCTGGTGTACTCGTCGTCTGCCACAGTGTACGGCGTGCCCCAGTACCTGCCCACGGACGAGGAGCACCCGACGGGCGTGGGCGTCACCAACCCCTACGGACAGACCAAATACGTGTGCGAACAGATCATGAAAGACCTGGCCGTGGCGGACAAAGTGAGTCCTCCGTTTGACCTTTGACCTTTTTTTTTCTTGCTTGGAATATATATTTGGTGTCTTTTTAATTTGTCTTTTTTAAAATTTCATTTTGTTTGTCCGCTATTTTCTAATATTTTCAAGTTGATATTCATGATATATAATCTAAACAACCCTGATTTGAAAATAATAGTAACGATACTGCTAGTAACAACATTTTATTTAAGACGAAAGGGCAAACATCCCACGAAAAATCAATAAAAAAAAAAAAAATCCCTCCACCATGACGACACAAACAATCTCATTTGATCTAACCACCTGATTAAGAACTGCCCACGCGACCATTAACCCGAACCACCTATTTCTTCTCCTCTAGGATTGGAAGGTAATCTTATTAAGGTATTTCAATCCAGTTGGTGCCCACGAGACCGGCATGATCGGTGAAGACCCCAACGGCATTCCCAATAACCTGGTGCCTTACATCGCCCAGGTGGCGGTGGGAAAGAGGGAATGCGTCAGTGTGTTTGGCGGCGACTACAACACTCCGGATGGCACTGGTAAGGGCACTGGCTGGGTAGTATCCCAGTGGTTGAGTGGTGTATTTATAGAACTGTAAAGGCCCCCCAATCATGCTAGCACTTTTTTCCGTATTTTTTATTTTATTATTATTATTATTATTATTATTATTATTATTATTTATTATTATTTTTTTTTTTTTTTTGCGTTTCCGTCAGAATTTGAGGATTTCAGGGGGTATTGCAAACGAAGACGGTTGTGAGTGTATCGGTCTGACTAATTTCCGTTTTGATCTTGTGTTACGGAGGATCTATACAACTAGAATATTTGATTTTATTGATAAAAGAGAGAAAAAGGGGCGACTACCACACTCCGGATAACACTGGTAGGGCTGGCTAGTTATCCCTATGTGTGTGTTTGGAGTATGTTAGCGTTTCTCCGTGATTTTATTTTTTATTTTTTTTATTATTATTATTAAGGCCCTATCACACTATCACTTTTTTCCGTCAATTTTTGCGTTTCCGTCAGAATTTGAGGCTTTCCGCAAGGATCGCCTACAAACGGAACGCCTCCCAGACCAAGACGGTTACGACCGTTTCCGTCTGACTAATTTCCGTCTTGATCTTGTGCTATTAATAAATTAGATAGGATGAGTGAATGTGAACATAAGCTGATATTTTAGAAGATTCGTATATACAATATACATCATCATATTTCTTTACATTAACGTAATATGTATAAGAATGTTCGTGTGATTCCCGGGACCTCACTCCGAAAGCGCCATGTTTGTTTACATGGTTCGGTCGATTTTCATATCGAAAGTTCATTCGGAAACTCAAGAAATTGATGGAAAAAGTGATAGTTGGATAGGGTATCTCATGCATGCGGTATCGACCGTTATCACCTGATTCATTCCGTCTTGGTCTTGTGCTACGGAGGATCTATACAACTAAAAAGCCTTTTTTTATAAGTTACATGAAAAAATTCATGTACACCCACTTCAATATTCTGGAATAGTTCTTCATTCAAAATACAGGAATCACATTTCTTGAAAAGAACGAGATATGAGAATGCTCGTGTGATTCTCGGGATTTTACTTAGATGAAGCCATGTTTGTTTAGACGAACACTGTGTTCGCTACCTTGGCAATGGAAAGTTTATACGGAAATGCAGGAATGGTGAAGAAAAAAGTGCTAGAGTGACAGATTCAGACCATTTGCATACGAAAAGTTCGTACGGAAATGCAAAAAAGTGGTAGCAAAATTGTAAAATTGGCAAAATAGTGTGATAGGTCCCAAAGGATTCAGGATTTATGTGTTTGAGGAGAAAGATGATGTTTCTGTTCATCACTATTAAACTAGAGCTTATATTGGTAGATGAATGATTAGTAACACATATAATTGTATCTGAATCTCTATCTATCTGTTTATCTATTTACGTGCACATTTATGCTATCGATCTATTTATCTATTTAGCTATCTGTTTATATATCTATGTATCTGTTTATCTATCTGCCTATCTATCTATCTTTTTATCTATCTATCATTTGATCTATATGTTTATCTACCATTTTATCTATCAGTTTATATATGTATCCAGTTATCTATCTATCTTTTCATCTTTCTATCTATCTATATGTCTGGTTCTGTTCATCTATCTATATATCTGTTTACCTATCTATGTATTTATCTATCTATCTGTTTATCTATCAGTTCATATATCTATACAACTATCTATTTATCTATATATCTATATATAATATATATCTATATTGTCCATCTTTCCATCTATCTATATGTTGTCTATTCTATCTGTCTGTCCATCTATCTATTTTCTATATCTATCTATCTACCTATCTATCTATCCACACACCACACCATTTTACGCTTCCAAGAATACCAAGAATACAAATATTCCCCCTACCCTTAACAAGAACACCTTCTACCCATTTTTCCAATTCACTTTTTTTATAATCATTAAAAAAATCTAATTTGTTCCTCAGGTGTTCGGGACTACATCCACGTGGTCGACTTGGCACTGGGACATGAGGCGGCACTTGGAAAAATCTTCGAGGAGAGTTTCAGAGGAGCAAAGGCCTACAATTTGGGGACAGGAAAGGGCGTGTCCGTTCTCGAGATGATTAAGGCGTTTGGCAAGTGAGTTTGGGGGATAGTGGGGGCGTGTTTGGGTGTGTGTGTTTGTTTGGTGGGTGTGTTGTGTATATGTGTGTTTGCGTGTGGTTTGTTTTGTGTATGAGTGTTTGTTTAATGTGCGTTTGGGTGTTTGTATGTGTATGTGTATGTGTGTTAAGGTGTGTGCTTGTGTTTGTTAAATTGTGTTATTTTGTGTGTGTGTGTGTGTGTGTTGTTTTGTGTGTTTTCGTTTGTCTGCATGTGTTATTGTTTGTGTTTTAGATTGTGTATTTGTTTGTGCAATAGCCTACACTTTGGGCTCGGGAAACGGTGTCTCCGTTCTAGAGAGGTTGGTGTTTGGGAAATGTGTTGGGAGTGTGTGTGTGTGTTTGTTCATGTGTTTGTGTATGTGTGTATGGGTGTATGTGTTTGTGTGTGTTAATATTTGTCTGTGTGTGTTTGGGTGTGTTTTCGTTTTTCTGCATGTGTCATTGTTTGTGTTTCCGCGTGTATGTATACACGTATATGTATTATCTCTAATATGACTCCCCATCAATCAAGAGAAAAAAAGAAAAAAAAAAACCATAACCTAAGGCCTATACACTAGCGCTTTTTCCGTCAATTTCTGGGTTTCCGTCTGAATTTGAGGCTTTCCGCAAGGATCGTCTACAAACGGAACGCCTCCCAGACCAAGACGGTTACGACCGTTTCCGTCTGACTATTTCCGTCTTGATCTTGTGCTATTAATAGATTAGATAGGACGAGTGAATGTAAACAAACATAATGTTTTAGAAAGATTCGTATATACAATATACATCATATAATTCTTTAAAATATCGTAATATGTATGAGAATGTTCGTGTGATTCCGGGACCTCATTCCGATAGCGCCATGTTTGTTTACATGATTTTCAAACGGATTTTCATTCGCAAACGCCAAAAATGACGGGAAAAGTGCTAGTGTGACAGGGCCTTTGATGCATCCTACCACCCTCCATCGTTCACCCCCCCCCCCCCCTCCTCCCCCCAGAGCGTGTGGCAAGGAGATCCCGTACAAGGTGGTGGGTCGTCGCGAGGGTGATGTGCCGACCATGGTGGCCTCCTGCGCCCTCGCCGAGAAGGAACTGGGCTGGAAGGCCACGAGGAACCTGGACGAAATGTGTAAAGGAGACACAGACACGCACGGCAACACGCAGATACACGCACGCAATGCACATTAAACGCACGCACGCCAACTACACGCACGCACGCACACACGCACCACGCAACTCTCACTCGCCATTCGCAAATCACTCAACTCATTACCTTGCTTGCTTACTTACAGGTATATCATATACATGTATAAAGATATGAGGGAAGAGAGAGAGAAGAGAGACGAGAGAGACGAGAGGAACGAGAGAGACGAGAGAGATGAGAGAGATTGAGAGAGACGAGACAACGAGACACGAGACACGAGAGAGAGGACGAGAGAGTACGAGAGAGAGACGAGAAGAGACAACAGAGGAGAGAGACGAGAGAAGACACGAAGAGAGAGACGAGAGACACGAGAAAGAGCAGAGAGACACGAG